TGTGTGTGTGTGTGTGTGTGTGTGTGTGTGTGTGTGTGTGTGTGATAGTTGCTGCTGCTGCAGCAGCAGCTGAAACAGGGTCTCATATAGCCCTGCCTGGCCTTCAACTTACTCTTGGTTGAGGACGACCTTGATAAACTCCTTCTGCCTCTGCTTTTCATACCCACATTCTCCTTCCTCCATCAGGCAGTCCTGCCTCATCACTGCCATCTCATGGGCGGATTTTAGGCCCGTTGGACAATGCCTCTTGGGATTATTCTCTTCTGTCGCTGGCACTTTCATCTCTCTCACTGGTGGATCATTGCTGTGCTCTCTTATTTGCGAGCCCTGCAGCACATTTTGACTCTTAGGGTTTTAGGTAATTATAAGAGGCTGAGTGTTCTGGTTAAGGACCAACATTTGCTGTTAGCTATTTATCTGCACATATATCACAACACAGTCTTTGAGTAATGAAAGTAGATGTCAAAAACGCCAGACCCCAAACACTCATTTTCCTTATTCATAGATGGTTCGTATTGGGCTTCTGCTGGAACTTTCTGGATTCTTTTTATTTATAATAATATGTATATGTGGACATAACAGTATGCACATGTGAGCACAGATGCCTGTGGAGTCCAGAAGAGGGTCTCAGATCCCCTGAAGAGGGCGTTTCCGGGGGTCATGAAGCACCTAACGCGGGCCCTCTGCAAAAGCAGGACGTGTTCTTCACCACTGAGCTGTCTTTGTGGTCCCTGAATTCTTCATCAGTGTTTCCTACAAACTAGATTAGGTCACGGCAGCATAGAAACAGCAGCTGTAAGGGCCTGTTCGAGTTCAGGAACAAAGACAACGAGCTCATGATATGTCGTCCAGGCCACATGGGAAGACCCCATCTCAAAAATCCAAATGAAGGGCTGACCACAGTAATAGCAGCAACAGAGGAGAGTGGGAAGATGGGGAAATGGGAATCTGTCAAACGCCTCCTCCAGGGGCCCTGGGACCACTATGTTCAGGTCACACAACTCCAGCTACCAATGGGTTCTCTGGAGGCACAAAAGGGGCAACATACAGCATACAGTGTCGTAGAGCCATTAAGTCATCCAGTGGGAGTTATAGGACCATTTTGGTAGTTGATTTGGCACCTAATTAACCTCACCAAAGGCTAGGGAACATAGTGGTTCATGGTACTTAAATACAAGTTCATTTGGCTTCGGGGACTGTTGATTTCAGGTGCACAGGCATGGTTATTGGAGAGAGTTTTCTTTGCTATCGTTGTTTTGCGATCAGTCCTCTTTGTAGCCTAGGCTGATTTCAAACTGGCAGTCCTTCTGCCTCCTGATTAGAGTGCTGAAGTTACAGGCGTATCCCGTCATGCCTGGTAAAGCTTTTCTCTTGGTCTCTTGTGTATCTGTTACTGTATTATGACTGCTTTGTTCTGTGTTCAAGGTTTTTGTTGGACATGCATGTCCTTATCATGGCAAGAATGTGACCGCAAGTGTTTGTTTTCTTTGTTTGGGACAGGGTCTTGTGACATAGCCCACGGCTGCAGCAGCAATTGTGCTGAGGATTGTAGGCATCACCATCTATAAAGTCTGGTGACAACCAGGACTTGCAGAAAAAGCCTCAGGATTGCCCTTTTTACGTTACATGCTCGTTCATGCACCCAACATAGAGCTCGAAGAATAAATAGCATGCTATCATTGGCTAAGCCTGGGTCACATGTTGGGGCTAAGCCCAGTTGCATGTGAGCTGCTTGAACTGATAGTGGATGATGAATGGTTTTCCCAGGGGAAGTGAGAGTGTAATTAGCAGAAAAGAGGTAGATGAAGCTGCAGGAATTTCACTCTGCACTCTAAAGAGGTCACATGGTCACTCACGGGTTCAAAACCATTCTTTCACAAGTGAGAACAGTGAGATTTCAGATAGGCGAATGGGTTTTTGATTGTACGTTTAGTACAGCATTAGGCATGGACTAGAAACTCATTTGAACTCCTTGTCTTTTTTCTTTGTAGCTCCCAGCTCTGGGAACTGTCCTTATTCTCTGACTCCTCATCTTGACTGCCTGGTCCCAACAGAGCCTGAGCCCTCGAGTCTTTCCTCCTCAGGCTGCTCCAGGGTCTCAAAGTCTTCGGCATTCAGTGGCTGTGTTAGTTGGCTCAGCCTGTATAGCAAAACAGACTACAGGGTTTAAATTTTCATCTTAGCCCTGGAGCCTGGAAATCCAAGATCCAGGTGCATTGTCCTCCTCTGAGGCCTCTTCCATAGATGGTGACATTCCCCCTACCCCAATTTTCAGTCATAGCGGATTAGGGCCTGCCCTCCAGACCCTTGCATGTACTAGGTAAGTGTTCTGCATCTGGCCTCCATCCCCGGTTCTTCAGTTCCATCTTTAGAAACCCCTTCTCTAAATAGAGTCACAGAATACTTGGAAAGATCAGCTGAGGAGGCAGGTATGAATTTGAGGAGAACACAATTTGGTCTGTGGCAGTTGGATATAGCAAAGGACACCTAAGCCTCAGAGATTTCGGTTGAGTATACTCCCCACTTGGGACAACTTTTGAGATGTCAGAATTTAAAGTGGGCATGGTGATGCATTCTGGAATCCTAGCACTTGGAGGATAGGGACAAAAGAACCGTGAGCTCAAGGCCACCATTAGCTACAGAGCGTATTTGAATCTTGTGTGGGGTTATAAAAGACTCTTTCCCCTCCCCGCAGAAGACTGGACAGTAGGTCAGTTGGTAGAGTGCTTGCCTGGCTTACAAAAACTCGGGCATGGTAGTACAAACCTGGACTAAAGATAAAGTACTCTTTATCACTTGGAAGGTAGAGGCAAGAGGTTCCGAAGTTCAAGGTCATTCATAGCTACATATGGATTTGGAGAGTGGTCAAAATACATGAGTCCTTGTATCAGAAAAACAAACAAAAAATTAGACAGGAATAGGATCTCTCCTTCTCTGTAGTCCCACCAGGCTTTCTCCCTCTCTACACACTTGCTAGGCTCATACTTTCCCACTGAACGCCACACCCTCAGCCCTTCCATCTCTTTCATTAGAACTGTCCCCACGAGGGATCCACTCTGCTGGGTTTCTGCTCGGCATACCCACCCCTAAATCTCAACGTGGCCAGGGATAGAAAGTCGATCCAAACTCTCCCCTTTACTGATGGGGGCTGGGGATAGGGGAGCCCTTAAATCATTTGCCAGAGTCATATAGTCCTTTATGTATACAGGCTTTCCAATTCCCAGGACTGCTCAGCACTGTTCAGAATATGCATTGTGAAATATAGAAGTCAGGTGAGTGGATTGTAGAAGGTGACCTTGTGGGTCACCAATTCAGTTCCTTCATTTGAGAAACAAAAAGGAAATGCAAGGATGATTAAAAAAAAAAAGGTAAATGACAGAAACCTTAAAGAACAGGCAGGTCCATAATTCCTTTGTGAAATCATCGAAGGGGAGGGCAAAGCTCCCACAAAGCACTTTCCACTAATTTACCAGCCTGGAAATAAGTTATATTTTTTTCCCCAACAGCTTTAATCGATTTCTCCTTGACTTTTCATTTATCCATCTCTAGCTGGAGGCAGCGTGATGAACTCAGGGACAACAGCAAGCCTCGGATCTCATTTTCGAGACTTGTTAGCCATGTGGGTTTAGACAAGTCATGTGATTGCAGGACCCCTGTACCAGGCTTTTTCTTATAAGCCACCAACCAATTCCCCAACCATGACACAGAGACTTACTAGTTTTGAATGCCAGGCCTAGCTCAGTCACGTTTCTGGCTAGCGCTCTCTCTCTCTCTCTTTTTTTTAATATTTATTTATTTAATATGTATAGAATATTCTGTCTGTGTGTATGCCTGCAGGCCAGAAGAGGGCGCCAGACCTCATTACAGATGGTTGTGAGCCACCATGTGGTTGCTGGGAATTGAACTCAGGACCTTTGGAAGTGCAGGCAATGCTCTTAACCTCTGAGCCATCTCTCCAGCCCCTGGTTAGCTCTTTTAACTGTTTCTCTCTACCTTTTGCCTCAGGGTTTATTATCTTTCTTTCTGTGTATCTTTCCCTGCTTCTCAATGTCTGCTGCCTGGTGTCTGCCTTGTTCTCTCCTCCTCCTTCTTTTGTTCTCCTATTTCTTCTTTCAGGCCTAGATTTGTCCTCCTATTTATTCCCTCTCCCTGCCAGCCCTGCCTATCCTTTTCTCCGCCTAGCTATTGGCTGTTCAGCTCTTTATTAGGTGCCTTAGGCAGGCAAGGTGAAACAAATGCAGCACCTCTTTATATAATTAAACAAATGCAGCGTAAACAAAAGTAACACACCTTTACTTAGTTAAAGTAGTAATATTCTGCAGCATAAAGAAATGTAACATCTTTGCCCAGTTAAAATAATATTCTACAACAGACCTCAGTTTCTGCTTGTAAAAGAACGAGGGTGGCACTGACTGCTGGTGGATTGCTGTGACCCTAATATGAGCTGATCACTCACTGTAGAGTGCTCAGATTAACTCGTGGAAGCCAGTAAGCCTCGCATCAAGATTAGCTCTAGAAGTTTAGTGTGATAGCACATGCCTGTAGTCTGAAGTAGGGGCATGTAGATCAGGAATCCAAAGTCATCCTTGACTGCAAACCAAGTTTGTGACCAGTCTGAACCCCATGAGACCCTGTCCCAAAAACAAACCAACCAACAAAAGAAAACATAGCTATGGTCCCTACTGGAGAAAACAAATGCCCCCAAAGGCGAGCTTGTTTGTCCATATTTTCTGATACATGCCTCTAGTGCCTAGAAGTCTGTAACAGGTAGGTCATAATAGCATGCATGAGTCTTTGTCATATGAACAAGTGAAGGCATGCTTTATGTCACATGAATGTATGAATGCAAGTATGGAGGACCGTTTTAAAAAAAAATCTGTGCTGAAGAGAGGGTTCTGATTGGATGGAAATTTCCAACTTGTTTAGTTATTTTTCCGTGGGATTGGTGTAGTAATTCCTGTTGCCGTCAATGTTCCTCAAGTTCTTGTTTGTCTTTTTAGGCTGAGGCTCCATGAAGAGAAGGTTATTAAAGACAGGCGGCATCATCTCAAGACCTACCCAAACTGCTTTGTCGCGAAAGAACTGATCGACTGGCTGATTGAGCACAAGGAGGCCTCTGACCGAGAGACGGCAATAAAACTCATGCAGAAACTAGCTGACCGGGGCATCATTCATCATGGTGAGTGAGGTGGCACTGGCAGGGTTTCTGGAGAGGTGATGGAGACCACATCGATTGCGTGGAAGTACTCGTTACGACGTCAGAGACAGGAGTGGTGGCTCTTAAAGACACAGAAGGGTCAGAAGGTCAAGGCCAGCCTTGGCTAAATAATGAGTTTGAGGCCAGTCTGGGCCATGTGAGGCCCCGTGTCCACAAAATCAAGTGTTAATTAGTAAACCAATAACCATTTTACTTTAAATTATCTCTTCAGTACCTCTTCCCAATGCGTCCTTTTTCCAAGAGGTACTTGGATTATTTTCATATGCTCTCCTAGACAGTGAGCCGTATTTGAGCCTTCATTGGAATGCATATTTACTATTTGCAACCTGATCAGCAGGCTGTGTGTCAAATCTCTTTTCTGATTCAAGAGCCACCTCTCTGGCCATTCATCTTGCTGATACAGTTGTATTGCTTAGCGTGCCTTCTTAGGCCATTGTAGCTTTATCTGCTCAGTTAAGGGGCAGTTACATTGTTTATAAGTTTTGGCTGTTACTCTGTCTTAGTTACTATTCTCTTGGTGTGAAGAGACACCATGACCAAGGCAACTTTTATAAAGGAAAGAATTTAAATGGAACTTGCTTATAGTTTTAAAGGGTTTGTCTATGATCATCATGGCTACACAGACCTGGTGCTGGAGTAGTAGCTAACAGCTTTACATTCTGATCAGCCGGTAGGAAGAGAAACACTCTGGGCCTGGAGTGGGCTTTTGAAACCTCAAAGGTCACCCCCAGTGACACACCTTCTGCAAGGACACATCTCCCAATCTTCAACAACTGGGGACTGAGCATGCAACTATATGAGCCTGTGGGGGCCATTATCATTCAAACCATCACACTCTCAGTGGTTCAATGAGCATTCACGAACATGTGTGTGCTGACTAGTTTTATGTTGACTTGATACAAGCCAGAGTCACCTAGGGAGGGGGTACCTCAATTAAGAAACTCTCTCCATATTGCTCTATTTACAAGCCTGTGGTGCATTTTTTTTTTAAATTGAAAATTAATGTGGGTGGGCCCAGCTCATTGTGGGAAGTGCTACTCCTGGCTGGTGGTCCTGGGTGGTATCAGAAGGTAGGTTGAGCGAGCCATGGACAACCCAGGAAGCAGTATTCTTTATGATTTCGGCTTCAGTTCCTGTCCGGACTTCCCTCAGTGAGGGACTGTTACCTTGAAGTGTCAAATGTAATAAGCTCCTTTCTCCCCATGTTACTTTCGGTCATGGTGTTTTTATCACAGCAATAGAAACCCTAAGACCATATGTCCTCAAAGTCTCAGCCTGACCCAGACATTTGCACTCTGATGTTCCTCTAAGCTAAGGTAAAAATTCTTATTTTTGTTCATTCCCTGATAGGTTTCTACTTACAAATAATCCAGGAAAGCTGGGTTTCCATTCCCCAAAGCTGGGGTTCTGAGGACTCCTTCATCACACTCCCACTTTAGTTTTCTCTAACACCTACAAACCCCTGCATCATTTTAGCTATGTGCTGACATTTCTCTTCATATCACTTTGTTTTCTGACAAAAGGGTCATAACCTTGTAGCCCCTGCTGGCCTCGATTCTCTGTCTCAGCCTCCCAAGTACAAGGGTTACAACTGTATGCAACCTTGTTTAGCTTAGATTTATAACTTTTGAGGCTCATGTTATTCCAATGTTCATGCTTATAGAGACTCTGGGATAAGTGAATTTGGTTGTTGGACAAAAATACCACTTACCAGGGTAGGAGCATGGGGTTAGAAAAATAGTAAAGAAAGCGAAGATGGGAGTGGACATAATAAAACAGAAACATAGGACAGCACCGGGAGGGAGCTCCAGTGAGTACTGAAATCCCCCTTGTTTAATTTTCCATACACTTTTATACCCCAATACAACAGGGGGAAGAAGACAAAAGACTGCTTTAACATGATACAAAGGACAAATAGAACAGTTACTTGCTTCAATACTTTCAGACATCAAGTCATTAGCATTCTGTGTTTAGGCAGTGAACCCACCTTAGACCAAGTATCCTGAAGGCAGCCACTCCCACGGTCAAACCTCCTATTTCAAAAGAAGGGGCAGAAGGATGCTTGAATATTCTGACCATTGGTCAGTGTGGAATGGATCTAACTGTATGGGTCATCTTAATGTCAAAAAGACCAAGTAACCACACCCTAGGTCAGGGTGTGTAGTCACGCTTGTTGTCCACAACTTTGAATAAGCTAAAACTCTCTGACCTTCAGACGAGGTGGAAATAGGCTCACATTTTTGGGCCTCCACATTTCGTGAGCCTTTCAGTACATGGTGACAGTAGGGCTGCTGACACCACTGAGTCAGAGCACCATGCTAAGCGTGGTCCCCCACACTAGATATCCGTGCGAGCAAGAATTTAGCCGTGAGATGGATTTTAATCTCCTATCTCTCGTGAGGCTTCCATTGTCCTCTCTGTGTGCATTGTGTTTCAGTGTGTGACGAGCACAAGGAATTCAAGGACGTGAAGCTCTTCTACCGCTTTAGAAAGGACGACGGAACCTTCCCTCTGGACAACGAAGTGAAGGCCTTCATGAGAGGACAGAGGCTGTATGAAAAGTAGGTCCACCGCCATCTCGACCTGGAAGAAGGGAGTGGGCTCTTTCCTTTGCTTGCTTGCTTGTTTTATTTATGTGTATCTTGCGAAGGGAGCTTAAGCTGAATCCAAGCCCTATATATATGGTCATCGGATGACCCTGAATTTCTGATCCTCCTGCCTCCACCTGCTGCTGGCCTTACACCTGTCTGTCAATCTCGCTTGTTTTCTGTGGTGCTGAGGATGGAACACAGGGCAGGTGCTGCAGCCGCTGAGCTTCTTCAGCAGCTCATCCACCCGTCTTTTACCGTGTCGACTTCAGCGTGGCTCTTCCAGGTGGGCTGGTTACATAACCGTTCCTTTTAATAGGAGAAAACTCTGTCATGTAGTTGCTTTGTCTCTTTGCCAGAAATCAACGTTGGTTTCATAAGGTCCTTGATACTCGATCACAATCCTAGTTTCTGTACCTAAAACAATTGAAGGAAACTCCGGAAGAGAGAACGGAAGGGCTCTCTTTGATGTTTGCCATCGAGTGATGCCCGTGACGTTTTCCTTGTTTGATGGATGTGTCTGTTGCAGAATCTGAAGATTCGGTCTCGCACATGCTGTGCACGGGGGACGGTTAGGGTCATGCCAGGCAATCAGGCCGAGAGCACCTTAGGGAGCAGGGTCTGTGTGAGACCCGTCTTTCAGGTCTCTGGAAGCTGAAGCACACCATACATCCCACAGGAACACATACCACAAGCCCAGAGCCTCCCAAGAGGTGTGTCTCAGTGCTAGTCTGCTTTTCTCTGACCTCTTGTTCTTCTAGCCATCCTTATTTTTATCCAGGGTAACATTTTTAGAAAGGATCTCAGAGGCAACGCCATTCCTTAATTCCGGCTGCAAGGCTTTGAACCTTCTGAAAATTTTTGTTTCTCACATAACGCCCAAGTGTCACCTGCTCCACAGTGAGTGGGTGTAGGGGTTACAGTGAGGGTTTAAGAAGCCAGACAAAGGATTGAGAGGATTAAGAGCTAAGGTTGAGTTTTAGTGAAGAACAAAGGGCTTGCACATGCTTCGTAGACTCTACCACTGACCCTTGCCCCAGCCTTCTGTGCATCTCTTCCAACCTCGCCACCTGTGCCTGGCCAATTATACGGTGAACATTTGATGGAAATTATGACTGGAGGCTAGGCTGTGTCTCAGATGTGCACAGTTGCCGAGCCTGTGTAAGACCCAGGAGGAGGAGGAGGACTGTGACGCTGAGTGGTTGGTTGGTTGGTTTGGTTTCTTGTGAGTTGATCAATATTCCAGGACTCTCTGTATCTGTTATTTACTCTCTAATCACTATTACTCAGTGTCTCAGATTGCAAGTACATTTATTTCCCCAACCTGCTTGTGAAATTAGCACTAGGACAAAGAAATTTCATATGTGTTTGACCCTAAGTGACCCAGCTGCGGTTTCACAGAGCTTGGCCTCTGCTTTGGGTTGCTGGATCATGTTTGCAACAAACTTTGGGGCCATTGAAATGGACTCTTCCATTGTGTGCGTTCTCCTTGTGTTATGGGTGACCTTTTTGTGACTTTCAGCATATTTGTAAGCTTCAGATACGTTTATAGCATTAGAAGCAAATAGCTGGTAATCTAGTCAGGTACTTTATTTACATTTTTAGAATTAAAGGGATTTTTTTTTTTCCGTGACAGAAGAGGAATCAAAAGGAAAAGCCATCTCCAGTGGGGCAGGGTCCGTCTGTGTGTTTTAGCTTCTGCACCATGTGTCCCACGATGGTTCTTTTGTTCTTTCTCAGTGCCTGGCACAATAAATGTTGTTGAATGTACAAAGGACTTGCCGTGTTGTTTCTGTGCGCCTCTGAGCTTACAGCATGGGAGATCTGCTTAATGTCAAGCCACAATAGCCAGCCTGTTCACCTTGTCTGCTTCCGAAGAGCTTACAAAGCATCTTTTTGTCGTTGTTGTTTTGATTTTGGTTTTTCAAGACAGGGTTTCTCTGTGTAGTCCTGGAACTCACTGTCTAGACCAGGCTGGCCTCGAACTCAGAGATCCACCTGCCTCCTGAGCACTGGGATGAAAGGCATGTGCCGCCACCACCGAGCACAAAGCATTGTATATTTTGTTCTGCTTGACTTTCCATACAATTCTGAGCGATATACCCATCAGGTATAATTGATTCCACTGTAAAACTGAGGACATGAGGTGTGGAGAGGCTTCAATTGTTAATTAGACCCTTAGTTAGGGAGCTAGAGATATTTCTTAAATACCTCTGGGGCTGGAGAAATGGCTCAGCAGTTAGAAACTCTTGCTGCTCTTCCAGAGGACCCACGTTTGTGTTCTCAGCACCTGCATTAGGTGACTTACAGATGCTTGTAATTTCAGTTCCGGGGAAAAGATGCCATCTTTTGGTCTGTTCTGGCACCTGCATGCTCATGGCATAACACACACACCTAAAAATAAACAAGTAAATAAGCAAACATCTTGACAGGGGAATGTCTTTAAGCCATTGTGTAGGATTGAGAGAACGCATCTGTGTGTATGTAATTGAATATGGAGGCCAGAGGGTGGCTTCAGACATGTCTCACTGTCTGTTCATGGCGACTGTCTCACACTGAGCTCAGAGGTTGGCTAGACTGACTGCCCACGCACCCCAGAGTCCCTCCTGTCTCCACCTTCCCAGCACTGGAATTTCAGGTGTATACCATCATGGGGCTTTTCACGAGGGTGCTGGGAATCTAAACTCAGCTCCTCCTGCTTGCCTGACAGACAACTTCCTCCAGCGCATCTTTACGCCCATCTTCTTCTGTTTCCACCTTGCAAGCATTTTTCCAACTGAGCTTGGTTGGTCAGTCAGTTGGTTGAACTACTTAGGTTGTTTTGAGATAAGGTCTGTGTAGTCCTAACTATTCTGGAACTTGCTATGTAGACCAGAATGGCCTCAGTCTTGCAGCCACACCCTTGCCTCTGTCTCGCAAGTGCTGGGATTACAGGCATGGACCCAAACTGATACCTTCAGCTCTACAGTTTAATTCAAATTTCAGCTTGAAATATTTTCAACCATTCGGGAAGCTATAACAAAACATTTTCCATTGTGCTATGGACATTTTTGGTTTAGTTGTGCTGCCTGATTTGTGGTTTCACAGAACCTTTTTTGTTCTTGGTTTGTTTGTTGTACAGCCCAAGCTGGCTTTAAACTCACATTCCCTCTTGGTATTAGGATTATAGGTATTAGCCACGGCAATGTGCAGCTTAGAACCATCTGTCTATCTATCTATCTACCTATCATCTATCTATCTATCTATCTATCTATCTATCTATCTATCTATCTATCTTCTATCTATCTATCTATCTTCTATCTATCTATCTATCTATCATCTATCTATCTATCTTCTATATATCTATCATCTATCTATCTATCATCTATCTATCTATCTATCATCTGTCTATCATCTATCTATCTTATCTATCTATCATCTATCTATCATCTATCTATCTATCTATCTATCTATCTATCTATCTATCTATCTATCTTCTGAGCCAGGGTCCCTCTATATAGCCATGATTGTCCTGGAACTCAATATTTACACCAGGCTGGCCTCAAATTCAGAGATCCATCTTCTTCTGCCTCCCAGTGTTGGTATGAAAGGTGTACACCACCATACCCAGCTGCTACATAGAATCTTATATTAAGTATTTCTTGGCTTCATGTATTTGAGGTGTTCAGTGGTTTTGATATAACTGGGTTAAAAATTATTTTTAACCACTGTTTATGTGACTCGGGTGATTTTGATACTCAGTCACTCTTGTTAAGAACTATTAACATGGGGTTGGCGAGATGGCTCAGCAGTTAAGAGCACTGACTGCTCTTCCAGAGGACTCAGGTTCAATTCCCAGCACCCACATGGTGCCTCACAACTCTCTCTAATTCCAGTTCTAGAGGACCCAACACCCTCACACACGTGTACATGCAAGCGAAACAAAAATGCACATAAAATATAAATAAAAATAAATGAACTGTTTACATCTGACTGCAATTTTACCATACTTGCTTGCCAGCAAGTTTACCCATAACCTTTCATGGGAACTTGTAGGAGACAGGAAACCCCAGGTCAGGACATGACAGCTACCTTGACCCTTAGAAGTGTCCACGGTCAAAGTACCATCGTGTGACCAGGCTGATTTTGATACTCAGTCACTCATGTTAAGAACTGTTTGGTTCCTATAAACAGCAACATGGTTGGTGACAGCTGCATGTGCACACAGTAGGTTTTGCACAGTCGCTGGTTATATTTGCATGTGCACACAGGGGGTTGTGCACATTGGCTGGTGATGGTTGC